CCTCGTTTATTACTGCTACTTATTACTTTTATGGCTAATTTCATATTTGATTTATCAGAATGTGTTGATAAACTGCTTTATATTAAAGTTTTTGTTGTCGAAAAAATATATAAGCTTACAAAGTTTTTTTCCAAAAACAAAACACACTGAGAAGTCTTTCGAGCTGACAAAAGTCGCTTGAAACGCAGAAATAACAGAAATCAGAAATATATTTTTGCTCGATTTTCAAATGATTACTTTGTTGTGCCTATAGTATGTGTTTCATAACAGTCGATTTAAACCTCAAATCAAAGTTTTGAATTAGTTTGGTATTCGACCATTTGTATAACTTTTCACTACTCTAAGAGTTAAGCATCTATATTTGTCTTTCAATGTTTGTGCTTAAATTGCTAGTTATCTGATGATTGCTTTGTCATAAAATTGAACTTCATAGTTCGTCTTATTTACCATTTAATTATTTTAAATTATATTATCTGTATTTATATACAGTAATATGCAAAAATTATGATCTTTTTTGCTCGTATAAAATTTAAGTATATACAAAATATATCAGAAATTATGGGGCATCATCGCCAATATTTTTTTTCAGAAAGTACTACAGTGGAACCTGGATTTTACGATACTCTATTTAACGATATCCTGGGTTTTACGATGAAGAGTCTTTYCCCCGACAAAAATATAATAAAATGTATGTAAAACGACCTCGATCTAACGATATTCGATTTTACGATATTTTCGATTTTACGATAAAATTTTCTTCCCGCTAGCGTGAAATTTGACCTGGATACAACGATATCAATCTATAGATACGGTAAAACATTGCAAAAATGGTCCTCAAAAATGTTCGATTTTTTTATTTTTGTATTCAAACTGGTATATCTAAAGTCTTTGGACTCCTATACTGTAGTTATTGTTTATCTTTAAGGATCTCTTTCAGCTTATCAATTTTAGATTGTTTATGATGCTTGAAGTAATATGTTGCAGGGATTTCTAGACCGACACCCTTGTTCCTTCGCTTGCCATCAACCCTCACGGAAATTGTCCCACCATGTTGAAGAAAGAAATGAAAAATTCGTGACAATGTCAAAGGCACATGACCAACAATAACACTCTGCTTTTTGGTCTTCCCTGGTACTTGATTTGGACGCTTTATTGCAACAGCATGGGTGTCGTAAGGATTGCATGGTTCGTGCTGCATTATTAAAAAAATAAAAATTGTTTAGTCAGGATTCAATTTACGAATGACAGGTAGAGTTAACAACAAGAATAATTGTACC